TCTATTTAACTTAGTTTAGTGTTATTTGAGTCAATTTAGCTTGCTTTGAGTTGTTTGAGTCTAGTTTTCTGTTTTTGAGTCTAATTAGTGTAGATTAGCATCCCTTCTAATCTCCGGCCTAAAACAATCCCTACTTTCACATACTACAACTATCAAAAAGAGAGTTTAATTTGTGTGTTAGTTATATCACATCAAGAGCCATAGAGCTGGGGCTATGTTACATGCAGCAGGAGATGCTCAACTACTAATATTGGGCCATTCTAGAGCTGAATTATGGAGTAAAGGTCGGCTGGGGCCATGTGACGAGTAGCAGAAGGTGGTGCTCAACTGCCGGTACGTGTTGCTCATATGTAGAATCTTTTTGGGCGACGAGGATAAAACTTGCTTCCAAGTGTGTCCTTCTAATGTTCATCTGAAAACTTTGCATTCGTCAATGTCTACGCCTTTATTGTCGTGTGTCTAGATTAGGCGGATTAGTGCATCATAAAGATGACTGCGTGCGTCAGAAGGTAAAATTTAAGCTTTCAAGTTGCAACAACTGTTGCTAAAGTTAGCTTTTGAATTTCTCGTAGCTGGCTTCTGCTTTGAGAAGAGCTTTTGAACTGTGGAATACAGTTAGTCGGCCCCCTAACTCTTCTTATATGAGAGTAGAGCTTATTACTGCTTCAGATACCGTCAAGCATGTAAATAAGTCCTCCGCTACTTCCAGTTTGGATAATGGGGTGGTGATGTCAGGTATTTCTTCAAGTATTTAAATGCTTTCTCGTATTCGTCGTTTTATTCATCTTGTTGCTCTTTTTCGATTGAGTCGAAAAAAGGGCTCACGTTGATCGATGGATCGCAAAGGTAAATGATTGAGTGCAGCTGTTCGTCTAGTTAGACCTTGGATCTCCTTCAGAGTAGTGGGAGACTTCATATTCAAGATCGCCCAGATTTTCCTTAAATGTACATCGACGAACCTCGTCCCAAAGTGCATGCCTTTCTGCCACAGTGAAAAGAGTCTGCCAAAGTTAAATCTTCTTTCATGATCAATTCTCCAAACAGCAGGTGGTCTACTAGGAGTCCTTTTTGGAAGGCCGCACTAGCTATCGAGTCATTGCATCCAATTATCTTTGCCTTCTTTGCTTTGAACCTCTTCACATAGTCGGGAAGCAATTCTTTTGGGTTGTTTTTGATGTTAAACAAGTCATCAGACTTCTTCTTGATCGAGCAATATGATGAATATTCTTTGGTGAAAACCAAAGAAAGTTCGTCGAAACTCCAAATAGATTGTGGTGGCAGGGTGTAGAACCAATCTTGCGTCTCACCTTGTAAAGTGGTGGTGAATATTTTGCACATGAGATCGTCGTTGTTTCGATAGAGGATCATTTCACTTCGATAGTTCTTTAGGTGTCTCTTCGGGTCTTCATGCCCTTTGAAAGATGTGAAATGTAGCATGCTGAACTTGCGTGGAGGCTCTGCCTGCTCAATCTGGTCTGTGAAATATGATCTGCTTATGTTGGTCATGTCTCATTGTAGTGTCTCGTCAGTGACCTCGTTGCGTTGGAAATCGTACAATGGTTCAATCATGATCCTCTCTACTTCTTCCTAAATTTGCATTTGTTAGTGTAACGGAGCTTTCGGCTGTCCCTGGTCATGACCTACTAGTCTAGCCTGCTCTTCCATGTGTTCGGCTCGTCTATGCCATGACTGCAGTGAATGTGGTACATTCCTAGCAAGCGAGCGAGTTCTTCGCAAGCTGCCAGTTGAACTTGAGCTGGATTAAGTGACTGCTTCTCTCCGTTTGTCATGTTTCCTACTTCGATGTGAGGTGGAAGATGCTCCTTGTGGGTCTAGCCACAAATGAATAGTTCACCTAAAAGGTTGCTCATGTTGATTATCAAAGTGTGGCCCCAACCGTGAATGTATGCTCGTCTGTGGGCTTAACTGAGAATGCACGCTCATTCGCGCATTAAGACAAGAGTATAAGCTATCTAAGAGGCCCAGTCAGAAGTGTACACTGCCAGAACGCTTGGTTTGTAACTGGTCGAGCGGCTGCTTGCTGGGATGTTGCTGGAAAGGTTCGTCATCTGCCCTTGTCCTACTTTGAGACACCTCGTCTTGGGCATGTTGCATCTCGATGCCCTGCAATAGCTAATTCACCAAGGTCATCTACTGTGCGAGTGCGCTTGTCAACTCTATGACTTATCGAGTCAAGTGTTGTTCACCATTTAGGTTGGAAAAGCTTAGAAGAAATGCATCTCCTTGAGTAGTGGAAGTGTGGTAGACTCCAAGCGCGAGATTTGAGTTGGGAAATGTCAAATCTGCAAAGAAATATAGTGAAAATGTCGCCGGTTTAATTGTCAGCCTAGATATTTGGAGCCAGGATGGTTGAACCGGCCTTGGATAAGTTTAGGCTACTTGGGACACCACGGGAGTAGGCTGCAACGCACGTGGGTGCTGGGCCTAGGCTCAGCTCGGGAGCGCACTAGGCTTGAGTCGGGTCACGGCTCGGGCCGGCTCTCCTTGGGCTTGGGCCCATGTAGGTTGGAATGGCACAACTTAAGGTTACGGGCCTTAGGCCGTTGTCTTAGCACCGTGGATTTGGGCTTTGCCGAGGGTGGCCATGGTAGCTGCTACGGTGAAGCCCTGTGGTGGTGATGACGCTCCACTTGTCATTATGTTGAGCCTTGTGGATCGTCGTGGTCTCAATTCTTGAACGTTGGAATTTTCGTTTGTTGTGGTTTCTGAGTTTTTAGTCATTGTACTTTCTTTTACGTTTTATCAAAGAATTTTTATAAATAAAAATTCCAAGAATAAGAATGTACAAAAAATCTACAAATGAACAAGAAAACAAAAACCTTGAATGCGAGAGTCTTTTACGAGCGTTTGAATCAAGGCTCTCAATGAAAGCACCAATTTATGGATGCAAATTTCCGCCTTCTTCTTCTTGGACAAAAATGCAACTGCAAAACAATAATCACCTTAGGTCAAAGCCAAGAGCCTCACGCGCTCACAATGAATGGGGGGGGCCTTTGGCCGAAAACTTCTGATACTAAAGTTAGAATTTGAGAGAGAGTGTTTAGAGAAATTTGGAGAATTTTAGAAAATAATTGGACTTCGGTTCTAGAGAAAATGAGGGACTATATATAGGGGTGTGGCCAGCTCTATTATGAGAATTAGGACTGGCCACATTTGATTGATTTTGTGGGATTTATTGTAAGATATTATATAATATCTTGCAATTACTTTGGGCAATTAATCAATTAATTAGATAATTAACCAATTAATTTAGGTAATTAATCCCAATTTGAAAAGAATAATTAGGAATTGCCTTGTGGGTGAAGATTTGATGCGGAGTAATGAGAGGGTTTAAAAGAATACCATTTTGATCACATTTGACATCAATTGAGCCGTTATTGTCTATTACATGCACATGGGAATCCCGGTATGCCTCAAGGGTAATTATGTTTTTTTACCCAAAAATCCACATATCGTCTCCATATTCAGATAAAAGATTGGATTAATCACCAACAAACTCTTTTTCCAGATCCATGCCATCGCTTGTCAAAGCATTTGCAGACCTTTTTGACATAATGAAAACAAAATGAAATACCAATTCTAAAAGAATTCAATGGAAACTGCGTTGGACAAAAACCGAAGAATGAGAAAAAAAAGTGTCAACAAACATATAATACAAATGCAAAAACAAATATACATCACACATAATGATTAAAAGCAATGAATCACATATATTCTTAAGATATGACAAAAAAAGGGAACGAAAGAAACAAAAGAAAACCAAAAAAAAAAAAAATAGCCAAAAACTTAAAACCAAAGAATTCAAAAGTTTAAATCGCTTACCTTAAGCAGCTGGAACTTTGAAAAATAGGACCGTCAATCTGCGCAAAAAGGCAAACAATCACTGATTATTACATTGGAAAATCCGACTCAATTTATTAAGTACAATCTGAACAAAAGTAGATCATGGCTACAACTTTTTTAAATAACTAATCGGAATTGAAAACCATATATCATAAATTTAAACAAAAGTAGATCATGGACGCAATTTTTTTATTTCGACAAATAGAATAAAAAACAGACAATTATTAAGACAATAGCAAAAGAAGCAAATATTATCTAGAAATGAGTTAAGACCAAAAGAAATATTATATTGTGAGATTGTGAGCAAGAGTGAAAATAAGAGTGAGAGAAACACACAGAAATTCTACAAAGAACATAAAAAACAACGAAATCACACACACACTAAAAAAAAAACATTATATTGTGAGATTGGGAGTGTGAGAGTGAGAGTAAGAGTGAGAAAAATTCTAGTCACATTGTTAATGAGAGTGATAGTGAGAGTAACAGCGAGAGAAAGCTGCAAATAAAATCTCTGTTATGAAAGAGCAAGCATACTACGCCCATTCCTTTATTAGTGGCTTTAGGAGATTGGGTCTCCCCTTATATTCTCCCTCCAGAAGGTTGTTGACAATTGGTAAAATTGATAGCCTACAAAACTCAAAAATAACTATTTTTTAAGATACATGATTAATGATAACTCAAAAATAAACAACAGAAAACGTTAAGTCATCCAATATTGAAATAGCTTCTTTCTATATTGTATGTACGTTGTAGTATTGGATGACTTAAGTATGATATCCATGCATCGTTGATCGTGTATCGACAATGTGCTTCTGTTGACAAGTAAATGATTTTGGTGACGCGCTCTCCCACAGTCCCACTACACCTTAGAAGACGCCCTTCTTATATTCAGATAGAGAGGTAATTTCACATCTTAACCGAACACGCACGGAGACATATCGAGAGGAGAAGGGGTGGGGCCCGAAACTAAGAAGATTAGAGCACGTGGCCAATTGTAAATTTAGGTCAGATATTTAGGCAAAGTTAAATCTAATATAGCAAACCAGAGATGGAACCGGATAACCTCAAGTTATCCTTTGTTGCACTAGGATTCAAGGCCATAAGCTCAAATACTGACAATCTTCTATATTCCACAGTAGCAGAAATTTTATCATCTAAAAGATCTTCATTTATCTGTTGCACTATTACAACAAGAAAATATTACAATTACCTTCGTATCGGTTCCGATACGGGCCAAAGAGGTCATGCTCAAGCCAAATACAATGCGTGATTGAATTCCCTTAACTAGAAGGTAAAATCGAATAAATTCCAATAGCTCTCTACCATTCTGGCATCTATAAATTACAATATGTCCAACCATTTAAAGCCGTTTGTGATCAGGGTTAAAACAACTCCCCCGATGTTGCAACAGGATTTAAGCTTCTTTCTTTTTAACCCGGTATGGATACTTCTGGTATATTGAAATGCTGCTAGCCACGAGAGGAAGAGCCAGGAGACAATATAGTGAAGGTGGTTTCCCTTCAAAAATGAACTGCAGCATAGCGGTAACAAGAAGAGCAGAAACAATAACAAACCCCTGCAATCATGTTAGAGCTTCCGCGGTAAGTACTTTTAAAACTTAATAGGCCTTGCAAGAATATAACTGTATAAGAAGTTTGTGTAAATCTAGAGGGAGTTATCTTCCCAGCCGCTCTCACCAAAATGATCACTCAGAAACTATAAGTGTATCCCAAAGGATTAGATTAACTTACCAAACAATTCCGTATATTTTGTCAGATTTTCAAAGATATGTGAACGAAGATCAGTATAAAACTTAAGAACTAGAGAGCTATGATTGAGATATCCCGCGAATAAAGCAGATCAAGGTAACCTAGCTATTATTTTCTTAAAGCAGGTAGCATGTTGATTCTAGTGATCAAGCATAACAGTGAATTCATAAACAATGTCAGGGTTTTATTTCTCTTTGCTTTCAGCCTAAGTTTGCAACGAAATTTCAAATAAAGCTAGTAGCGAGTGAGGTTGAGAGCATCAAATAACTGCTATTGTTATCCTTGTTTTGTTAAACTTGCCTTTTTCACGCCACCAGCATAACTTGTGACTAGGCCAACAAGAATTCCACCAAGGGCATTGCACATGACTGGGATCTGGAAATAAAAACAGAACAAAAATATTATTTGGAAAGGGACACCATAACACGTGCAACGCATAGTTAACAGAGAAAACATTACATTTGTTTTCTTTGCCAAGTACTACTGATTAAAAATGTATATCTTCTAAATAATATTTGGGATGGGCGGAACTTCCTTTATTTATTTATTTTCCTTGGTGATGCAAGATGTTTCAAATACAACAAAAAAGAAGACCCAAGTATGTACCATTTTGCTTAACGTAAGATAATTACTTCCCACAGATACAGTCCAATAATTAAAATAAGACAAAGTTTTGCACAGAAATAGAATTAGAGCCCACTAAGAGAGCAACTTAAACTTAGCAACAAATGGGAAAAAATAGACCGACTGTATAATTGTGTTTACAAAAGGGACTATATAGTTTCTATGGTTACAATTCAGAATCGAGAACACCAGGAAAGAAAAAAAGAAAAAAAGAGGACAACAGACAACGTGCGGATGGATATCTACAGGAACAGCAAACCATAGAGAAGCAGCATGACCATCCAAAATGTTTCCCTTTGAATTGAATCCAGAGCTGACGAAAAACAATAATTTCTTTCATATGACTATATTTTTTCAGTCTGCCTTCCAAACAAAACCAATGGTTTGTGGTGGTTTCGACAAGGGAATTGCAAGTACCAAGGGATTTAGGCTAAATTAGTTAGAGAGACAGTACAAATGATTTCGTGGAGGGTTTGAAATGACTTAGATACAACGACCTTTAAGGGGCGTTCTAAATGACTACTTGAAAGCAGTCACTTGTGAATCCTTTCTATAGTATTTGTAATGATTATAGTGCAAGTAAAATCCCTCAATCTATTGTTTTTTGGTTCATTTGTAACTAACTCATCCTAATTTTCTTTGGTACTTTCAAATCCCTCATCCGAATATAGCCCCAAAGGAATCAAACAAAGATTCAAAAACTGAAGGAAAATGTTAAATACAGTGATGATCATTACCCAAGTCATCAAAGTCCATCCATAAAAAAATCCATGTATTCTGATGGCTTCTCCATCTGGAGATTTAGAGGTACTGGCCAACAGGCACAAACTTCCCACAACAGACATCTCTACTGTCATCAAATACGATGAGTGTTTCTTAACCTGGAATATAAGAGCAACAAAGTTAAATTGATGAGACTAGGAAACAGCGCCTTCAAACTACAGGATCCGAAACTTTTTGCTCACCTGGGAAGCCCATTGACACAAAGAGGATGCCAAACCTGAGAGTACAGAGGCCACCAGGACAGGAATTATCCCACTAAACAATATTTGGTCAGAACTGCCACTACCAGTCCCTTTTTTGGAGCCTTCCCCAAAACTTAAAAGAACAGCAGCCGTAATCAATAAAACGAGCGCCCCAATTTGCTGAATCGATTGCTTCTGCCTACACATAACAGATTGCTATCAAATATCAATCTAATGGGTGATCTCATACGCTCGGAACTCTCTGAATCAACTCACATTCAGCTAATTCATAACCTAGAAACCGAATAGAGACATATCTTAGGCTCAAACCACGACAAATTCAGTCTAATGAGTACTATATCATCAATATTCAAATGCCTTGGAGCTCTTTAAAAACTACCATAGCTACTTAACCCGGCACAAATATTCGGAGTTTACAATGTATCCATTCCACATACCTCAAAATCAAATAGGTAAAGAGAGCAGTGAAAATGATTTTAGTCTGGTTAAGCATTGAAAAGGTGAGTGAATCAAGGTTCTTGTAAGAAATCTGCAGCAAACTATTCTGCAATGCGTAAATGGCGGCGGGAAGCCCCGAGGCGGTCAGTGCACCAACCAACGTCCACTCTCTGTACACCTTCTTCAAGCTGCCGTCTCTAGCCATGAAAATTAGGGCACAGATAATCTTGGCTATCTCGCACGTCAGGACCAATGACGTCACGATCACTTCTCTACTGCGAGAAGAAATTACAGACAAAATGTACAAGTTTTAGAGAATCAATCGGTGATTGGGGGATGTTAGGGATCGAGGAAGGGGTGGGAGTACCTGGTGAAGCGTTTGGAGATGAGGGGCTGAGCTCCGTACTGGAGTGTGAGTAGAAGGGAGTAGAACCAGACCCTTGAGTTTATTTTCTCTGCGCTCGGCGGTGCCGGAGCTTTTTGCTTTCCGGCCGCCATTTTTGGCGGCGACCTTGGGAGGGTGAGAGAGAGAGAGCGTCCGAGATTTTTCCTGTGATTTGGAATCGTCTTTTGCTGCTACTTTGGGAAAGACACGGGGACCCGGCAGTACCGACTCACAGTCAAATGACGTCGTTTTGAGTACAGGTTATTTTGAAATATGAATCCTAATTATGCTTTTTTACTTTTTTTTTTTTTTTTTTTTTTTTTTTTTTTTAGGGACCAGTTTTTGTAAAAAAAAAAAAAATAAAAAAAGATCAATTGGATTTCATAGGATTAAGAAACTTAGGATTTTAATAGATTTTGTTAAGTGATGGATTATGAGACTTCTACAAAATCCATATGTATTTTGGAAGACGTGAGAAGATTCATATAACAGATTTCTGTGGATTTTGATAAATTTTACAACGTTGAATCTTAACTGTCAAATAAATCAAATGGTAATAAATGTATCTAGGTTATGAATCTACCAATCAATATTTTCACACAAACCCAACTACTTCAAAGTCTCCAGCTGCACTCCTTTCCAATGTTAGTTTCTCCCCCACTTTATTCTTCTCTCTTTTCCGTTCCAACAAACCTCCCTCCTCCAGTCCTTCTTTTTTTTTTTTTTTTTTTTTTTGTCAATACTTCTCTATTCTTGTTTTCCTCGACTCTCTCTTACTCATCTTCCTCCACAACCCAATTCAAATTCCCCTTCTCTGCCATGAGGAAAAAAAATTGCACAAAATTGCAAAAAGAATTGTAGAAAAATAACAAAGATAAAAGAAAAAATTGCAGAGATGAAAGAAGAAGATATAGTGTGAGAGGAAGAGGGAGAGGTTCTTGGATTTGAAATCCTAAGGTGTGAGGTAGGGTTCTATTTGGTCTTGGATGTATATACTTCTTGCTTTCAAATCCCACAAAATCCACAACTTAATAAAATCCTACAAAATCTTTAATTTTTCAATACACAAAGATTTGGATGGACTTTAAAAATGACTATTAAAATCTTGATTGACTACACCTAAATTTGCATGGATTCTAAAAATCCTTTAAAATCATTTGGTTGACTACAGTAGGATTTTAAAGTCTTTTAAAATCCTTCCAAATTCAAGTTTGACTGCACCCCCCATGAATCCTAATTATGTTTTTTTTTACTTTTTTTTTTAAGGGACCATTTAAAAAAAAAAAAAAAGATCAATTGGTGTTTCGTTACGACAATTCACATTTTAATACTAAAATCCTAAAAAATATTTATGACCCTTCTTTGCAAAACCCTAAATATTCATTAGCAAAACCTTGGAAAAATGTTTTTAACCCTTCTTCGCCAACCAGGGACGAAGCTAGAGATCTATATATGAATGTGGTCATCCCCAAACAACAAAATTATAAATTAAAAAGCTAAATAATTTACTAAAACAATACTAATATATTAATCCATATTTCATATAACATATTACAACATCTCTCCACGCTTTTTCATGTTTTAAAAGCATTGCATAACAATTTCATTACCAATATAATCAAATATCTCTCTCTATAAAAATAATTATCATCCATCCATAAATCTCCCAACCGATTGTTCAAAAATTTCATGGCCTAAAATGCTCTTTCAACGTTGACAGTAGTAACTGAAAGCGTTAATGCTAATATCACAAGATTTTTTTCTACCAAAAAACTGTGTGGGGTCATCTGCCCCTGCCGGGCCCAAGGTGGCTTCATCCATGTCACAAGCAAACATTTATTAGCCAAAAAAAATTCTTTTTTATACAACAGTATATTTACATTAAAGTAATGGAGAAATAAATTGGTATTAAACTCGTCATACACAAGTTTAAAACCTAAAATCTCTTATTTACAAATGAACAAGAATTTCAATAAACTATAATATTAAGTGACACATGCATTTTAATATTAGTTTTAGTCATTAATTGGAGTGAAACTGTGACATCCCACATCGCCCAGGAGAGTGGATCCTGTAAGCCTTATATATATATTCTCATCTCTACCTAGCACAAGGCTTTTTGGGAGCTCACTGGCTTTGAACTTCATAGGAACTCTGAAGTTAAGCGAGTTCGGATAATAGCAAGCCCAGGATGGGTGACCCACTGGGAAGTTCTCGTGTGAGTTACCAGAAACAAAACTGTGAGGGCGTGGTCGGGGTCCAAAGAGGACAAATTGTGCTACAATGGAGTCGAGCCCAGGATGTGGTGGGGGAGTGGATCCTGTAAGCCTTATATGTATATTCCCATCTCTACCTAGCATGAGGCCTTTTGGGAGCTCACTGGCTTCGAGTTCCATCAGAACTTCAAAGTTAAGTGAGTTTGGGCGAGAGCATTCCCAGTATAGGAGACCCACTGGGAAGTTCTTGTGTGAGTTCCTAGAAACAAAACTGTGAGGGTGTGGTAGGGGCCCAAAACGGACAATATCATGCTACGGTGAAGTCGAGCTCGGGATGTGGTGGGGGCTCGAGCCGGGATGTGACAAAAACAATATATGGAGTACCCAATAATATAATCATTAATTTTTATTAAACCGATATTATACTGTAATTTACAATGAAAAGAGAGAGTGGACAAAAAAGAGTCTAATCTTCAAAGACAATACGCTACTTGCATCGTACTTAAATTTGTGCAAATTTTTCATAAGAAGGTGAAGCTAAGCTGTATTACTCAAAAGAAAAGAAATGCTAATGAGACTCGCTCAAAAGTATGACTCTCTACACCTCATGTTATTGTGCAAAAAATATGAGGTGATGGAGAAACCATAAAAAGTTTCACTTTTAAGAAAGTCTCCTTTAATTTATTTATTTATTTATTTATTTTTAAGGAAAGGATTCATTAAATAGAGGAACCTCTAGTACAACCAATTCCAGAAGCATCAAACAATAGAGCATTCAAAGCTTCAACCGAGATACAGGCATCCCAAATATTAAGATTTACATACTTGATACCAATAGAAGTTAAACCATCAGCCACAAAGTTAGCTTTCCTAAAGATATGACACCACCCAACTTTCTGAAACACAATGGCGCACCACTTGACATCTTCAAGGATGGACCTCAAGTTCCAAGGCGTCTCGCGCTTCCCTTGAACAACATTGATGATAAGCTTGGAGTCGCCCTCAACTATAATATGGGAAAATTCTTTCTTTTTATTCAACAAATATCTTCTCGGAGCGCTAAGGCCTCTACCACATTAATGGAATTAGACCCCAAGTTCAAAGCTCTCGCAATCAGAGGGTTCCCCATATCATTCTTAATAACAATCCTCCAGCTGCAACTGAGTTAATGACAGACCCTCAAAATTGATTTTAAGAAAAAGAAAGGTTGGCTTACAACATTTAATGATATTAGTCGAGCTCAAGGTTCTAGCTTGATCACTACACCGCACATTTTCCTTAAAGAACTCATTAGCAACCGAAATTGTCCTAATGTAAGTTCGGTTACAATTAGGATTTTCGCTTCTAAAAATGATACCATTCATGTTGTCAATGCAAATTTTCGCCGTCTCTTGCTTTGACGAAAATGCATCTGTAAAATAATCAACACCTTTGATCAAAGACCTAAACCTCACGCTCCCACAAGGTGTGGGGGAATGGGGGGGGGGGGGGGGTTAGGCCAATGGATCTCCGATGCCTAAATTAGTTTCTCTAAAAATAGTAAGTGTTTAGGATTTTTTAGGATAGCAAAAGCTTATCGAAATTTGATAGAGATGAAGATATTTATAGGAGGAGTGGCCAACTATGGGTGTTAGGGTTTTACCTTACTCAAGACGGCATCCTATTGGCCAAGATTTATTGAAAGAATATTCTCAAAATATTAAATAGGAAATAATATATTGCGATAATGATGTAAATATCCTTAATTGATTTAAATAGAGATTACTTACTTGAATCGAGTCAATATTCAATTGAGAATGTATTAAAGATAGGATTTGGGTAATTAATTTATATCTTTAATGCCTTAACTTTTCCTTGTCATAGACAGGTAAGCTGTAGGCAATCGTATTCAACTGCATGGACCTTTATGGGTGTTGAGCTGCTCGATCTGAGAAGTTTGCCCATTTAGCAAGTTCCACACTTGCCCAGCAAAATTGCAATGTAAAAAGATATGATCCTGATCCTCCCGTTAATTTTACAGAAGGGACAACTCATATCAATGTTATTAATAAATGTACTAAGTCTAGCTCTAGTTCGAAGCTTACCTTTAATAAGAAACCAACCGAAGATTTTAACTTAGGGGAGAGAGTTTGGTTCCAGAGAATATTGAGAAGATTATGCACCGTAGACAAGGCATGGTTATCCATTTGCAATCAAGTTGCACCACATTGGATTTGATTGGATTTGATTGGGATGATCTTCTGAAATGAGATGGTAAATATGGTAAGAAAAACCTAATTATGGGTCCTGAATAATCACCCACATACCATGTCAAATTACTCTTTTACCCATCTCTGGCACACAGAATGCCTTTCCAAGCTAAGGAATGATTTAAGGTCTACTTTAATATCCCTCTCAAAAGAAAACAAAACTGGAAGGCGGCCGTCAAAAAAGTTGTACCCACGTGTTAAAGTAAAAGAGAGTCGCCTAGCCCAAACCAGAATCCAGAATCTCAGACAGCCTAGCCCAAACCAGAATCTAGAATCTCAGACAACACGCTAGTACCAAGTGTCAATTAAAACCCTAAATTTAAATGTGGAATCTCATCACACAGTAGTTAGCTCGTCAAAATCTACGGCCGCGATCAAAGCGCCAACAGATTATAAAAGCACCCGATTCCTCTGATTCCGCAGCCACAACTTTCACACTCTGCCATTTTTCCTTCACCGTTCCGCTCCCCTCCGCTGCAATTCGCCTCGCCACCGCCACCGCCACCGCCACCATGTGTGGGATTCTGGCAGTGTTCGGCTGCATCGACAACTCCCAGGCCAAGCGCTCCCGCATCATTGAACTCTCGCGCAGGTACGCATTTCCATTTCTTGCTTTTTTCTCCCACCTGAATTTTGTTTGATTTCGCCTGGATGGATGAGAGATGGAGAAACGTTTGGGTGCGGATGAATGGATTGTAGGTTGAAGCATCGAGGTCCTGATTGGAGCGGATTGCACTGCCATGGAAATTGTTATCTTGCTCATCA